GATCCTCAAAATCCTCTATTTTTCCTCACGCCTCTAGTTTCATCTTCCAGGAGCTTCGCAGCCAACTCGACGAAGTAACGAACCCCAGCGCCCCCTGTCACGGCCCCTTGAGGATCTTCCCGCTGTGCACACTTCGTTTGCAGAAACTTGGTCTCGAAGCATACAAGTTACAAATCCACAGTATCAAGACCTTACAAGTTGCCTCACGTTAATTCGTTTCTTTCGCATTCAGGAGCTTCTCCGCCAACTCGACAAGACGACGAACCCCGGGGCCCCTTGTCACGGCGCGCTGTGGGTCCCCCTGATATCTTTCGCTGTATCTTTTTGTTATGAAGCCCAGAAGACCCCTTTACATTCTGGCACCTTCTCTCACGCCTCTAGTTTCTGAAAAGCATACTTACGCCTCGATTGTAATCTTTTTCAGGAGCTTCTCCGCCAACTCGACAACATAACGAATCCCGGCGCCCCTTGTCACGGCGCTTTGTGGGTCGCTCTGCTAGCGCTCCCCCTCGCGGCGCACCAGCTAAACACGCCTCCCGTCATTCTGCTGACGTTGGCCAAGGCCCTGTCAATCCCTCACCCGGAGCAAGGGATCCCCTTGGCCTATCACGAAGCGCGGAAAATCTTGCGGGACAGAAACGGGCTTGCAGACCGGAGTTCCGTGCGCCTGACGGAGGCGGAACGGAAACTAGCGGAAAGAAACGGAGCGGGGTGGAGAAACGGAATGGATCGGGACGGAGCTGAACGGGACGGGGCGGAGTCTAGTCGCAGGGGACGGAGCGGAACTGAGTCGGACGGAACAAAACCGGACGGGGAGAGCTTGTCGCTGGAAGAAGCTACGGCCCTGACGGAGCAGCTGGCCGAGCGCGCTGACGTCATCGTGTGCCAGATGGCGCTCGCCAACGAAGACACGATCCAACGGCTGACGGGCCTCGCGACGAACAAGGACCTCGGCGGGGTGATGCGATTGGACGCGGCGCGCGCGTCGGCGCTGTTCGCTCTAGTTGCGCGACGGTCCTCGCCGGAAGTCGTTCGGTATTTTGACATGTTGCGGCGGAGCCAAGTGAAGAATGGGCGGTCGGAAATGGACGAGTCTAGATACAATGGTCCAGAGCGGGCGCGAAACTTAGACTTAAAAGAGGGACGGTTATCGGACCTAGCGGATGCGATTGGGGTAATTGTGAAAGATGCACTAGCGCCAGTGCCGGACTCTGAACCAGAGTTGCAAAAATTGCGGGAATGGCGGAAGACCCGAAACGAGGGACGGTAATGATTGGTAGGTTTCGAGTCAGGTAGCAGCCTAATGTTGAGCTGCGAAAAACGTTTGCACGCGGGCACTTCAAAAAAGCTTGTTTAAGAAACGCATAAAGGCAGGCGCAGCTGCTGCGTAGACACCGCTTGGCGCAAGACGTGATAGGTTGGCCGGCCGGCCGGGCCGCTGTCAATCGAACGTTGGTTTGCATGCAAGCCTGGATCTTCTCAGTGGTCAGCAACGAAGCATGCCCACTACCAAGCGCGTTGCACAATGTCAATGTCGGTTGCACGCGGACGACGGTGCCGCTTGGCAGGCTGTCATCTGTGCCGACGTTGAAAGCCTGATACATGCATGTCAAAGTGATCCGACGATCTGTTACTCAAACCCTCGCAGTCAGTACTTGAACTACGGTAGTTTGTGCTTACCGCCAGCGCATGCGCGATCGATGGTTGTAATCGTACTTATTCTACAGAGACTTGCTCGGGCCCCGTCCGGTCATCGGCGGGTGGCGCTGCATGTTGAGTTGGAGGCCATCATTGTTAAGCAAGCCTGAAGCTAGGCACTGTAACGCTAAATGCAAGGTCTTAACATGCATGGTACGTCGACTTTAATCGTGTTAACCCGGCCTCACCTATGATCAGCTAGCAGCATTTTCTACTGGAACTCATAAGGCGATATGATACTATCTTCGGCACGGATTATAGTGTGCACATGTCGGAGCTCATCGCAGGCGCTGCATGCAGCCATGCCAGTCGTCGCGGCCATCTCATGCGGGGCTTTGGTGCCATTAGTGGCGATCCTATCATCGATCACCTAGATCAGAATTCCGAGTCACTCTCAACCTTTTCAGCGCGGGGCGCGGCTGCATAAGCACGTTCATTTGTACCGGCGTGCTGGTCAAACAGATGCTAACTCTCGCGGATCATAGGATGGTCCGCGGTGCGGACGGACAGAAATCTCCTTGAAGTTTTCCAATCTCTCAGCCCCCAGCCTCTTTATGTAAACGACGACGCAATTGAATCTCAAGGAGTGTTCTGGGCCTCTTTCAATTCCGCCCAGAAGGGCAAATGCTGTTTCCAGAATTTTACCCACACTGTTTATTGTGCAAAATCGAGGCCGGCGGTATCGGTCCAGTAGGAGCAGAAGGTGGACTGTGTCCGAAGCGGTGCGTCATTTCGATGCCGCGAAGAGCTTCTTCAGCTGCTTCTGCCTGTCGTTGTGACAGCCGAGCATGGTCCAGAGTGACGTCAGCTTGCCGCCGGGCCTGACGAGCTGCCCCTGGTGCCACATCAGGTCGAAGCCGCCCACCTGAGAGCGGACGGAACGGATGAGTTTGACCGGAGGCGGATTCAGACCGGAACATCCTGACAACGTACTTCGATGTGGAATGAAACGGACCTAGATCCGTTGCAAGTGGTTGCAAAAGACCGGTGGCCCTGTACTTTGTTGCGCTTTCGTTGAAGTGCTCAGGATGCTGGAGCGGCCCCCTTTAAGTTCACCTTTGATGGCCAGCAGCTGCTTGAAACATGACGCGACACTTAGGAATAGTAAGCTTTAGGAATAGTAAGCTCAGACCAAACACTAAAATCCTAACCTATAAAAACTACCTGCTCCGCACCCGTACCCACCCTAACCCCCCAACTAACCCTACCCGTCTCAGGCTGGTGAGCTTACTATTCCTAAAGCTTACTATTCCTAAAATGTCATGACTCGCTTGAAACGAACCGATCTGGCCCGATGCTTTCAGTGAAGGCTTTTGCCTGATCAGAACCGCCGCCTCAGAGTGCCGGAACCCGCGGCTCGCTCACGAGCGGGCAAAGAGGCGTACCTGCTCTGGCGTGCTGCCAGGTGGCAGCTTGTGCTCCAAGTCAACGAGGGTCAACATGTCGTCGAGCATGCCGATCTTGAGGTCGTAGTCTTCCCGTGTGTCCGCGGTGAGGCTGGGGGAGGCGTTGACCTGGAGACGTGGCAAGGCTCCAGGTGAGGGGCGCGAGCGCAATGCTGGGTAACATTGAAGTGTTCGTGCAGACCAAGCATCGATCCGTGAAATTTCCAAATAAGATTAGTTTTGAATTGCAGCACTCTTCGCTCAGCAGAAACACTCTGAGTGAATAAACAAGTGCACAGACAATCGTTTGGTACAGAAAATGGATGAAGGCGTCTAGCTCTGGTTTGAGAAAAAGGTAACATCAGAGACTTTTTGACTTTATTTGGAGACACGTACCCAGGAACTAATTTGAAAAAACAGAATCAACGGCGGACAGCGGACAGCGGACTTCTACCAGAATACCGCGCGCGCGCGCCCCACCTCGAGGAGCCACGGCTTCAGGTTGTCGTCGATCATGACGTCATAGCCGTACAGCTCGAAGCAGTGCTTGTCCTGGATGATGACGTTCTGGACGGCCAGGATGGCGCGCACGATGATCATGCTGATGTCACGGAAGACGTCATCCGCGGCTTTCTGCCCGTGGCGGGTCACCAGGTACTGCTTGAGGGAGCCGAGCAGCCTGCATGAAGACAGGGTTAAACTAACCCAGGTCGCATTCGGGGTACTCGTTGGCTCTCCTCCTGTCCACCCGAACAAGACGATATACGTCCAGAAGCTAACATCCGTAACCAGGAAAGTTTGCGCTTCGAGCATTCTGAACAGCCCCCTTAGCTGACTCGTACAGGTCATGAAGTGACAAGTTTAAGAATCGGATGAATGCGTGAGGAGCTATGGACTTACTGGTGAGGCTCGTGACATCAGAAAGTTTCGTTCCAAGATGGATCTACGCTATCGTTTTACTCACAGTGCCACATTTCGTCCCGGAAGTCCGGATTTTCGGCTGCTTGAACATCGAATCCTCTGGATCACGACCTTCCCAAATACGACATCTTGTTTCTCAAAGCTTGCCAGCATTCAAAATTTGACAACGCAAATGGATTGCAGCTTCATCTGTCGCTTACCACTTCATGCCCTTGGACGGGTCATATGCGGGCGCGTTCTTCTGTATCGCCACGTTGGTCAGGTGAATGTAGTTATTCACGATGTCTTCCTTGCGCATGCTGAAGCGAGTAGTGGAGAAGCGCGCAAACCCGCTTCTATACAGGTAAATCTGCAAGGTTTGCCTTGACCCCGGTTATCTCATACGGTATTGGGCTGACTATACGAGGACAGCGCTGCAGAATGAAGTGCACGCAGTGGGCGAGAGCGGATCGGCTTGATTTCAATGAGCATTTGCTTCAGGCGGAAAGATTTCGGCCTGGTGCACTGCATTAAAAGCCGGCAAGAATTTGAATCTGAACGACGCCTTGGCGGACAACCAAGGGTTGAGAAACCAGAAATCGCGAATCTTTAAATCGTGTCTTCGATGGCTTCAGCATTTTCCAATCGTTCTTCGGCTCACCTTTAAAGGCGCGTACGAGACGACCATAGCGTATATCCGCATGTCGAACTTCTTCCCCCCCACCAGATACGGATTATCTATGTACCGTTGGACGATGTAGTTCTCCGCCTGCGGGTTCTCCGACTTCCACTTGTGATCCTTTTTCCAATCGCTGATCTCGCTAAGCTTGGTGAAGAGAAAGATTCCTTTGCCCTGGGCCTTACCGACCGGCTTCATTATGTACACAATCTGCAAAAAAAGGGAAGAAAACATTTGGACCTGGCAATCACACCAAGATGCTCTTTTACTATCACCCCGCCTCACGCCTTTCTGAAAATATGATTGCTTTTACACCCGCTTTACTCCTTGCTTTCCTGGAAAAGTTCCATTCTAGCGATGAACGAAAGCATCTGATCCCTGGACGTAACACTACGGATACGCTATATTGATGGGTTCTTTGCCGAAAGTTCGATACGAAAGCGGCGCCCATGCAAGATTACATGTTCCCTCACCTGCTGACCTGACGCTTGCATCTTCTTAAACTCTTCCACAAACATGCCGTAGTCGGCCGGGAGGGCATATGTGCTCGGAAAGAAGTCGTACCTGTACCGAGAGTTCAAAAGTCAGCGTCCGTAAGAACCTGCACCGTCCGGAGTCCAAGCTAACCTGTACGAAGGGTTTGCAACGCACAGCGCTTCGCATGCGATCTGAGAAGCAAAAGTCGGTAGGTCACCAAAATCAGAAGGTAGACCTCCGGATAATCAACTCGTTCCTCCGAACGCTGATCTCACGTCTCCTTTGGTGCTTTTTGGCGCTGTAGTTAATGTGAGTTGGTTGAACAGTCTCGATCGCTTGAGGGACTGCTATCGGACTTTAGTGTCAAGATACAGAACGGATGAAGCCAGAGCTACCACATCGTCGAGCAACGACTAAGTCTTCCAATTCACTCACTTTGCGGCCTCGACGGCCTTGTCCTCCCGCTCTAGTTGTTTCTTGGTTCGTTTCAGGTTTTTGATGAGCAGGTCCTTTCGGGTCAGTTCGTAGTGGTTGCGAAAATGGTTGATGCGCTGAGAGAAAGGAGCAATGATCTTCCAATTAGGGTAAATCTACCTTCGATTCAGTCGCCGGGCCGGGTGGTTTTACGAGTGTGCAGGTTCTTAGTGGATCAAAGAAGCTGTCTCCAACAGGCCTCGGACTAGTGGCCCCTGTTTGAAATGTCAAACGGAGTTCAAACGGGCTATTCCTGAGTTTTGGACACAGTTTGTACAGTTGGGAAAAGAGGTTCCTCTGTCCCGCTCAGACCAGGTTTGAACGGGCTCTTCGTTTTTCCGGACAAAGTTTGGACACCAAAGCTGTGTCTCGGACGTGCTTCGGACGCTCACCTGGTGGTCCTGCAGGTGCAGGTGGTCCATCATTTCGTGGACCCAGCCCACGTCCGCCCAAAAGAAGTCCCAGTCCGTATCGCTGGACAAAGGCATCCCATGGTTTGATTGAAGGTTATCAGAGCCCCATAACGCGGGCCTTCATGTTTTCATTGTTTTGCCACAACATGGTTCTAAGGCATCCCTAGTCAGAGCCTGAACGAAGGAATTAATCTGCAGGCCAGCGGTGCTGCAGGCTGAGGATATTCGTATTGCTTCATGGCCCAGTCATCTAAGGGCTCACACGTAACCAGATACTGACCACCAGGAATGGTCATATTGACCATGCAACATCAAGAGCCCTTGACGTCAGCCTTACCGAAGTCTTGCCAAAGTTGAGGCTGCTGCGCCACGCCAAAATTCGGAGTTCCTATCTTGCGAACATCAAAGTGGTAAAATATTTTCATGCACAAGAAAGATTCAAGCGATGCCGCCAGTGTAGCGTAGGGAACTGCTTGGAGCCTCACCCATCTACTTCGACCCATCCTCTTGCTTTGAGAACGTCGTAGATGGTATTCTTCAACGATGAACGGAAACGGATTGGTCGCCTGAAAAGAGATAAAAACCAGGTGGTCTGCCACTGTCGTCATTGTCTCCGTATCCGAACGGCTTGCCCATCTTTCCAGAGGGCTGTCACTCTGTTCTGAAGCTTGTCAAACTGGTGGTAAAATAGCATTCTCCAGATAGCCTAGGATACATATGTACCCGCCTGTTGTATCTGAACCATGTTCAGAAGCAAACCCTTTGAATATGTTCCACCTTGATCACAATCAAGTGTGCTTATCCAAAAGCCCAAACGTGTCCGCTTCCACAGGGGTTGAACCGTTTCTAATAAACCTGCTATTCTGAAAGTGGTAGCTTGATTTTGAGCATCAGATGTCCTTAATCTGAGCAAAACGTTCAATCACTGCCAGGTGGTAACAGCTCATCTGACAGCAACCAGTGTACCTCTTACCTTGCAGGGAGCACATTTACGCACGCAATGATCAAAGTCTTCACAAGTAGTCATTGACAGGATTCACCCATCCATGAAGGCAAAAGGGGGCATATCAATCTGTAACCATTGGTTTGCTTAGCCTCAATCCGCAAGAAATTGAAGGCAGCTTGATGTTTATGTTAATCCATGTATTTAGTCTAGTGCAACCACTCACCCTGGAGGAGCGCCTCTGCTGGAGCCAGAGCTAGTGGTCGGGCGAGCGGACGTTCCTGAGGTGGACGCACCATTGCTATCCCTGCTCTCTCTACTCTCCCGGTGCGGCATTGTACTTTACGTAACTATGTAGCTTGGGGCGAGTAAGCTAGGAATATGGACCGCCAGAACAAACAACAGGAGCTGTGACTGGTGTAGGCCCTCTTTAAGCTTGTGCAACTTGCAAGCCAGTACAGTCTGGCGCGCTGAGACACTCACAATAGCATCTGCCCCGGATACCGATTGTCGAGAGCCCTTGCAGCTTGAGTCAGCATTCTTAACCTACGGACTCAACAATAAAGGCTGCAAGCGGACCAGGCTGCTGCTGATATCAGAATTCAGTGATACCGACCAGCTTCTGCAAACATTCAACAAGGACTGCTCAAACTGTCAGCTGGCATTGACGGTTCCCTTATATGTATATTGGCTGTCCAATGACTAAAAGATGCGTGACTGAGCTAAACCAGTGAGCTGGCAGCCCGGCGCTCATTGATGTGGATTCACTGCAATAAAACACCACAATGCGCTGGCATTGAGCTCCCATAAACCAAAGCGCTGGATTCACGTTTGTCTGATTTGACTTACTAGTTACTATAGTACGTCACGTCCTGCTCAGCACTGACTTGGTCAAGAGAAGCAAAGCTTGAGCAAGCGCACTTTCAGGAGCTTAAGTCCAAAGCTGCTTTCTGTCTCCGGTCTAGACTTCTTATCTTCAATCTCCGGAAAGCTGTGCTGCAACATTGTGACACCAAATGCTAGCCAGCGTCGATATCTGATGAGCCACTGTTGACATCACAGTCTACTAAATCAGTGCCGGTGACTGGTGGTCAATTGGAGACAACGGCAGTATCACACCGCACAACCGTTGGCGTTACCTTCCGTCGAATCAATACCTGCCAATTTGTCTTCTTGCACCTTCGACGCCGTAAGCTAAAAGCCGGCTCGTCGGCCGCGCGGCCACGAAGCGCGGCCCGGAGGGGAGTCTGATCTCACGCCCGGCCAGCTATTTACTCAGGTTGGCGCTGGGCTGAGCCTGAAGAAGCTAGGGGCCTCAATGCTAGCTAATGCACTGACGAGCCCAATGGCAACAGATTGCTGGAGACTGACGGAGATTTTCGTCATTCAACCTTAAGATTCTGACGAGCTCAGGCAAGGAGACAGAAGTTTAGATCGTCATAGATATAATCCTCAGAAAGGAAGGGACGAGGCAATTGCAAGGCGTCAAGCAGCTAGACGTCAACGCTGAGCAAGATCAACCCCGAGATAGCTTTGTTAACAACGGATTCAAGCGACCACAGAAACTCGAACGCTAGCATTTTTCAGCCGGAGCTCAGTGGCACTACAAAGTAAAATTTCGACTAAGGAATCACCTAAAAATAAACGGACCTCCTGCTGCAGCGAGTCAGTGAATGTTACCTTGTGTCCCTCGGCCTAGTCAACGAAGCTTGCGAATGCTGCAGCGAAACGAAAGAAGATGAGCCGAAGGGAAGATAGGTCTGTTCAAAATTTCCGCAATGCTGGTGCCAAAACCAGGACGGCAAAGCATGCAGCTACCTCAAATGTAAGCAACTACACCACCTCATTCCTTTTCAGGGCTTTACGAGCTGCACAGCACCCTGTTAAGTGAGGTCTTTTCGCACGAAACAGTAATGCTTGCTCTTTGTCTGCTGCATTATCACCAGCACTTGCTCTTGGGCAGGAACATTTGACTATGCTCAAACGTTTCACTTGATCAGGTTCCTCAGAAAAGTTGTTTACTTAAGTCTGCAACCTGTTTTGAAAGCTCCCCAAAAGCTCATGCAGCTGTGCTCACTGTGCAATTGACGTCGTTTTTGGAGAATGGTTTGGTGGCTGTCAACAAGCTGGCCGTTGAACGCTGATGTCAAAAGGGCCAGGTCGCACGTTGGCATCAAAGCGTCTAGGGAAAAGTGCCTCTTCTCACTGCGCAGACAAGCCTTCTTCATGCGGTGGCCCTTCAAGACCACGTGGCACGCATGTTCCACCTTCCGACCCCCAAGCTGCGCCCAAAACCATCTTCGACTTCTGCGTCAGGACTGAAGCATGTGCCAGCACAGCCTGCCTTGACACTTGGTAAGCATTTTAACGGGAGATGGAGTTGGCCAAGGTCTGAGGCGAGGTCCAACTTCGTCCACTGGATGTTCAGCTTTGCAACAAGAAGCTATCCAAAGGACTTATAATAAGTTGGCCGTTCTACTGCAGTCCCTGGAGTTAGCAGCAGAGCAAATATTATCAGGTCCTCCAAAATTATCTTGACAAGTTTTCTGCACGAGCCTGTCAACAAGCTCCATCATGTCTATCACGCCCTCGTCAATGATTGAAGGAATGCAAGGTCAACAAAGCCTGAACGAAATATTCATCTTCTTATAGACTCCTTGACATACTGTCAAAGGGGCAACTTACCACGCCTTTTTAGCATTGTCGCCCTTTTCGTTCGTCACTACAAGCGAACAAATCTATCGAGGTAAGAAGGAGTGCCTTTGATCTTTTGCAGCTCAGAAGTATGGCTTGGTTGCGAAGCCGCCTCCTCGGCTCTCCGTTGAAGAGTGGGAGGAGGCGCACAAAAGGTCACGAGCAAGAAGGGACAGTCGTCTTCCGTGCCCCATTTGCAGAGACGAGTTTCGGGACGGAGAGCAAGTCCTCCTCAGTTGCTCACACGTCTTCCATAAGGTAATTGTCGAATTCAGCGCACAGGGGCTTTCTTTACCAGTAGCACTCCGGAAATTCCGCAATCCAGCCAGCACTCCCTCGTCTTCGTGAGTTGTATTGTAACGTTGTCGAACGGCAATTTGAAGGCGGGTTCCAAAACAGCAGCGGGGATTGAGCCTCTCGAGTCTGCCATATTGCGCTCTTTTGCCGTCGTGTAAGTACACAGACCCGCTTTGGGAAAGATGAAGTGGATCAAGTCGTCCTAATCGTTGTGATCTTAGAAGCGCGTTGTCCCCTTTGCTGTCGGTTTCATTTGCTGATGATCACACGGGGTCATATCCTGGCCCTTCTATTCGAAAGTCAATTCGCCGGATCCGGTTATGTAGCAGCCGGCCTCTGGCGCAAACCATCTTTCCCTGCTTCGAGATCTTCCCTTGGCTCTGCCTGACTTGAAAGAGTTCCGAGCTCGTCACAAGTATCACCTCGTGAAGTGACACGGATTCCCTGTTTGGAGTGCAGACGTGCCTGGCCAGCTTCGAGCGTTACGCCCAGCAGAAGTGCTGCCCCCTCTGTCGGACGAAGCACTACCAGAAGATTCCAATTAGAGATGGCGCGGAGTTGTACCAATATACGAGCGCTACCAGGTCCGCGTCTGCTCGCTTCGATCTCTGTAAACTTGCTGCCAGCTCTGTTCTCGTTTTGCGTTCGGCTGGTGAATCACCTCTGCCTCTGGAGTCACAAAAGCTGTTGAACTGTGTGTATTCGATCCTAGGTGAAGTCTCCAAGATACGTCGAAGCAGCACTAGTGGACAGCTTAATTGAATCCTGCGAACAATGCCATGTCATCGGACAGAAGCAAGCTCTCGCGCCCCTCTCTAAAGGAACTTCTGGATAAGAAAGACCTCCTTACTTTGCAGGATCCAGTCGTACTTTCGTGGCTACGTGGTTCGGAAGTGGTACGCGGCCCTTCTGGCATCCATACCACCGACGGACCCCGACAAGAGAAGACACTTCTTTGCAAACAAGGTGAGCTTGAAAGTAGTATGTGCGTTACCGTTTGACAGTCTGAGAGGAAGGAATCGAGCATAAGATGGAGGTCAGAGTAGCTGAAACTCAGGATGCTGGCAGGTCAGATGTCACGAGAATTGACAGAGATGCTCTGTAGTAACGTAGTTTCCTTTGTCGCGGTCACAAAATTAAAGAGCCCTTTTTAAAATTGATCAATTTTTCGATGTTACGGTGAACAAGCAAGTGCTTCAGTTTGTAACGAGCCGATCTGAATGACGTGTCTTATGATGCTTGAGATCACTGACCATAAAACCTGTTTTGCCCGCATAGTTGCTGAAAACGGGCCAAGCACAAGGAGTTTAACTTTCTCAATCAGAGCTCGTCTTCGTTGTTTGTGCGCTTGTTCAGCGCGAAAGCGCCCGGATTGCCAAAAATGATGTACCACACGATCAATCCAAAAGTTATCTGACCGTCGACTACTCACACTGCTTGAGATATCCTAATGAAATTGACTCAATCCTAATGAAGCTTTCAAAAGCTCTCCTTTCAGTTAGAGAGTGCAAGCGACCGACTGCTCCTCCACCTCGAGGCGGAGCGCGATGAAATCGACGCCCTCTTTGCCGAAATCGACGCATCTGTGAGAGACAGCAAGCGGATCTACCGACAAGCTGCGGGACTGCCGGAGCCGGAAGTGCCGGAAGAGCTTCAGGAGGAACCCAGAACGGAAGACGTTGGCGGCGACGAAAACGTGGAGCCGCCCGGTGCTGGGTCGCCAGAAAGGGACGTGTTGGGAGAATCGATTCGGACGGGGTGGATCAGGGGCAGTGACTGGGACGTCGCTGTTGCAAAGGTGAGCCGGTTGTGAGCCCGATGTACAATAACTTCCAATCGAACCAGGCGGAAGAAAGGAAGGATTGTTCGTTGCTAGGAAAATTCACAGATTGAACAGGAAGGCGCGCATATGAACTGCTCCAGAGTACCAAAGGATCATCTGCTGTAACAGTCTCCTTTCACAAGATCACGTGCTTCGCTGCTCCTCTTGTTCTTCAAACCATGTGTCTCCGTAACGATGTCGAACGCGACAAGCTATCCTGTACCGCATCAGCCCCAGCTCTTCGGGCTTTCCCTGGTTACGGCTCTCCATTGCTTCCAAGAATATTGTTCCATCCTCGCATCGCTTCTGCGACTCTGGATGCTTGACTTGTTTACGAAGGGGATCTCTGTCACTAGGGCCACAGTAGAGCGCAGGATTGCAGTCGGTGCATATACTGTTTCTTTGGAGATTGAGTGCAAAAGAACAAGTCTGCTTAGAGTTGCTGCAGCGGTGCTAATGACGGCAGTCCGTTAGGACGAGGTCTGACCAAAGAGAACTCACAGATCGCCAAAGATTTGGTACCGACGAAGTCGTCACTTCCTTGCCCGCAGGCAATAGAGCGTGGCGACTCGGACTGTCCCATATGCATCGCCCCGCTGCATCGAGCCAAAGGCGACTCGACGCTTGCGTGGCTGAGCTGCAGCCACGTGTTTCACGCAGACTGCATCGCCGCTTTCGAGGACTATAAGAACGCTTGCGCCGCTAAAGCGGCTCTGACGGAAGATGGAGGAAGGCGGAATAGAAACGGGGAGAGAGTAAAATCAATGGTGAAGCATAATTGTCCGGTGTGTCGAAGCCTTTACGAGAGGATGTGGATGTAGCCTCGAGTAAGCAGACACTCCTGAACATCTATAATAATGTCCTCAAGATCATTCACTTGATAGACATTACACAGGTTATAGGATTTCCAACCAGTATCTCATATGTGTCTCAAACGAAGCTGCCCTTTGCAGACGTGCCACTGAAGCCGTAAAGAAAGGGCTTACTGTGCCGCTCACATCATGTTAAAACCGAGCGCTGGAGTCATGAAACCTTTCCCAACGCCGTTGACAGTACAGCCAGACTGCAAACCATTTCAGACGTAGGAAACCCGGAAGTTGTGTGAATCAGCGGCGTATCTCAACGTTCTTTCCCTAATGTGACGAAGCGACAATCGTGCGTCACTTGACATTTCGAAAACCGAATCACATTGCACTTATAGTAGCTGCACATAAACTTTTGATACATAGCTTGTTTTCTGGATGTGCGGCCGCGTGCAACCGGCTGCGCCCGGCCAATGATAATCATTCAATGATTCCTGCGCTGCCGGCTGTCGCGGCCAGTCTGCGCGCGTGTCCAAAACCCTGGCAATGACAGGCTGGCCGGCCGCGCGGCTGTCTGACAGGGTCGTAACTCCGAGTCGAAACCTCCTAAACCTCTTCCTCAGCAAGACTTGACCAGGGCCCGCGGCCGCTACCGTCGCGCCGGCCGCAACCTGTATGCCATCGAAACGGATGCGATCAGAGGACGTAGGTACGTAAGTTTGCTAGTCTTACGATATGCGTCACTGATGATGTCACACAGGGTTAACCTCCTAACGCACACTAAAACCCTAAGGGTAAATATTGAGCAGTAACCCAGTTTTTGACAAACCCTAAGGCGTTCCGCCAGAGCGCACCCTTACCCACCCTAACCCCCAAGCTAACCCCACCAAGATCACAGGTTTGCCCTCATTGTAACCGGAATTTGCCCCGAGCACTTCACCGCACCCGGTGAAACCTGGCGGTACCAACCATACCGACATGTACCGTACCCCACCACTGGTATCGCTGATGTCACCGATGACGTACTTTAGAAGACTAGCAAAGTTATGTAGTCTGCTGGATCAGAGCGGCAAATCCAGGTTCTCAGCATAGTTCTCGTCCTTGTCTCTTACCAGTTTCTGCTCCCTATGGCTCTCGCGATCGCTTCCCCCCGCTTCTCACAAGCCTCTAGGGCTCATGGTGTCGCACTCCGCCAGGTTCCGGCTTCACGGTCCTCGACGACCCTCCAAACCTCGTCCTTGTTTCCTTCTTTTCCGAACCCCCTGCTTTTGAACCGCAGGTCTTTTGACGTCTCAAGCAGGACAGGAACGCATGGTGTCAATCAACGGAAGCAGGTTGGTTACCAAGCCCAGCAAGGATAGGCGCAGGAGAGGGAATCTGTCCAGCCTCCTGCAGCAGGAAGCAGATTTTGGCTCCACAAATCAAAAGCAGAACCTTGAAGGCGATCAAAGCTCCCGAAGAGTCAGAGCTAGAGAGAGAGCTTGCAGTGCTGCCTGTACTGCAAAAGTTGATGCGGGACAACGACTGGACTCAGGAGGAGATCTTTGACTGCACTGATGGCTTGGTCATACAAAGCTCAGGCGGCTCGAGGAGCGGTCTTTTTGTGGCTATCGAGACAGCATACAATGGCCACCACAAGCTTCACCTCAGGCCAGATGACATCATGCTGGCGATTGCTCAGGGGGTCGGTGCGCACCTCTCTTACGGAGAGAATGCTGAGAAGTACCGCCAGGTTTTTGTGGACCATGAGGGGAAAGAGCAGATTAATGTTGACGCAAAATTCTTCCTAACAGGTGTGTACTCTGCTTCAAAGTCCTCAGTATTCTTCAGTATCCTCAGTATTCTTCAGTATCCTCAGAATTGGTTTTTGGACAGCGTGTTGATAGGTGCAGAAAACCCTGTAATTTTGTTATCTTCTAATGTGTTTAACTTGCCTTTCTGAGAATAGACAGATAAGAGACTTTTTGTTCACACTGAGTCTTACTGATGACGGCAGGTTGGTTGGGTTTGGTTTCTTCAGAAATGTGTGACCACGTCACCGAAGAATCCCGGTTTGCTGCAGTAACTGTGCTTGATCTCAGTTGCTTGACCTATCCTTAATCCAGAACGGAGGTCTCTCTTTGGACACTGATCCAAAGCTTTCTGCTTCAACATTTTCTCTCCAAGATCACTTGATCAGCTCTCTAAGTGAGCAATTCCAGATAATCAATCCAGTGCTTCGACTGATGAGGTTCGGAATCATTTGAAGTAGCTCCCTTCTCAACACTCTGCTGCGAAGGTTGAAGCGAAACATTGACCCCTCAGAAGAATTCGCTGATCCAGTAGTGGATCATTCTCCCTTTGTTCTCGATGTTCTTATCATTCCAACTGTCGATATGCTGCTCTTTATGATGGTTGTCGAAGACTTCACAGAGAAACTGGCCTTCCCAGCAGACTAAAACATCAAATGTCGCTTCTTTCGTTGTACTTCACGAAACCTTCACGGCAGATATGCTCTGAAGATTTTTCGACTTTTCCAGTGCCTTGACTGTCTCGAATTGTCTGCAGGTGATTCCCGCTTCCTCTACTGGCCCTGCTGCGTCCAAGCCGTCGTCAACGAGCTGACTGAGCGCGTCAAGGGGGACACGTGTCAGCTCCTCTTGAACGACTTTTCAACGACTGACGCCGTTTCTCGAACGGCCAGCCAGGTCGTTCTGATGGACACCATGAAGCATTATTTTGAGTATGGCTTCTCCTTTTCATGCGGTATCCCTGAGATCGAGTTGCACGGCACGTTGGATGATTGGCATACGCTATTGGCTAGGGCACGTGCGCTGCGCGCGCTGGAGATCGGCCTCGACTGGTGGCTGGACGTTCTGGAGCCGGTCCTCGAGAAGCTCATTGAAACGTACTCGGGAAACGTGGACGAGGATTGGTGGAGCCACGTATTTACCCGGGAGGAGTTCAACGGTTCCGGCGGGGGGGTGTTCTTTGACGGGTGGTTCCAGGCATTCTTTCCGTACACCGTGAAGGGAAAGCAGGCCCGCTTTGGACGCTTGGATGCTGGGGACGTGCCGAGCGGGATGGTTAATTGTCCGTTCACAATCATTGAAAATGGTCGTCAGACGGACAGCGAGCTCGTGGCCGGGAGCTTTGGCGCCCGGGTGACGGAGGACGGCGGGGTAGCGCCCTACATCGGATGGCTCGTGAAAAAGAAGGGAGAGGAGGAGGCTCCTTTCTATGATATGGACGAGGCATACGCTGCAGAGTTAGGAAAGTTGAAGTGATTACAAGTAAACCAGATTCGACTGGATATTGTTATGTATGCTGATAATACTTGCAGAAGGCCAACCAGATACATATTTTGAACGCTGATTGTAGACGGCCGATCGGTAGGAACGTCAGCTGCTCTGCCGCCGAAGAGCAAGAATAGAAATGTCCGAGCTTCCTTGGAGTGTGTCCATTTGCGGATGAATGTTTTGACCATCCCAGGCGTCACTGGCCCTCTATCATACAGCATGGAAAATGTCACAAAGTGGTTTTATGCAGTTACGTGCGTCCCCAGAAACCGTGTTTTCAATGCGCCGATGCGCATATTTGGATTCAAAAACTTAGTTTCGCGTTTCGTATCTTTTCAAAGTGACGTACGTTGCTGTGCAGTAACGACAATTAGTTTTTTCTGAACCTTGGTGTTGATCCAAGTATTCTTCTTTGAGTGCACCAAGCTTGCAGACGGCCGGATCCTTGCATTCAAAGACCCAACTGTTCCGTCAAGGAGCAGATGCATGTGTGAACAGCTTGTGGCAAACGGAGGCGTGCACAAATGGTGCCTGGTGCACATTCTCGGGTGAGGTTTGAAGTCTGATTTGCAAGTTGCAGCACCTGCCGCGCATCTATACTAGGCTTGAGGTGGCGCAACAGGTGCACCTTATCCAAAACGAAGAGAGTATCAAGCTTCTCTGTGTCAGGGAAGTATGACTGTGGTAAGCACAACATCAGGCGCTATCTTAAAAGTATACAGCAGAATCTGCTGTCGCTGCGCAGCCGCCGTACGTCATGATGACCGATCGTCGACGTTTCATATTACTTATGCCGAGCGAGGACCTGCGCGACGGCCGCACGCGCACGCAAGTTCCGTTACGTTCCAACGATCCCTCCAAACCCTCAGCTTCAGCATCAAGAATCGCGCCGCGCGGCGCCGCGTTCAGCGCCTATGTTACGTTTTGATTGCATGTGCAAAACTTTCTACCAACTGAAACCTCATGACTCAGAGTCATGGCGGCGTCCTCAGTCAGACGTTTTGTTCAAGCTCTACCCAGATTGCAATCGCAACGTTTTCCTCTTGCAATGGCGCTTGCAGTCGTCTCGCCCCGCGTCCTAGCATCTTCAGGGCTAGCAGGAGCAGCTTTGATACCACGCCAAAATCAACATGGACGGACGTTTGCAATGGCTAAAGTCACGCAACTTTCTCCTTCCTTACAGCAGACCCTGCATTCGAGTGGCAGAAAATCTTACCAGCATGTGCTCTCCAGCAACATTGCAAGGCGTGACGTCAATCAAAACAACCAGCCGGCTCGTCTTTTGTCAGCAATTGTTGCAGAAGCAGGGAAGGGTCTACCTTCTCAAAGCAGCGTGCAGGTTCTGGCTCCGCAGATCAAGCGCAAAGTTCTGAACGCTGTCAAAGCCCCTGAGGAGTCCGAGACAGAAAGAGAGCTGCCTGTGCTGCCAGTGCTTCAGAAGGTTATGCAGGATAATGAGTGGCCTCGGGAGGACATATTTGACTGCACTGATGGATTCAGTCTGAGCAGCACTGGAGTTTCGAGAAGTGGACTCTTCCAGGCAATTGAGACCGCGTACTCCGGTCACCACAACCTACATCTAAGGCCGGATGACATCATGCTGGCGATTGCGCAGGTGGGAGTCTTATTAAACGATATGTTTTTGATGCAAGGCACGAGCTCAAAAGAGTTTCAGTTCTGTCTCTAAGTTCCCGGCTCAAGATGCAATCGTCTCTATTTTCACAGATTTGAGCTTTGACAACATTCTTGGACTGCACATAACGTCCTGGAAGGGTGTGAAAAGAATGCTGATGGATTGCTATAATCATATTAGAAGCTAATCTGGTCGACCATCATGCAGGGCGTCAGCGCGCATCTTTCTTACAAGGACAACGCTGAGAAGTACCGCAAGGTCTTTGTCGACCACGATGGGAAGGAGACAATCAAAGTGGATGCAACACAATCCTTGACAGGTGAGGTCCATTCCCCATGGTCAGTGAATTCTTAATCGAAGACACCAATGAAAATGCAACTTAAATGATTGAGTTCTGGATTCAATGTGCCCAATTGTTCATGATTGCTGATTCGTCGGCGACCATAAGAAGAGACAAAGAAAGGCAGGCGGATAGTTCTTCCAAGACAGATAAGTTCTGAATAGAGTTTCCTGATTGTTTACGCCACTGCCGAAGTACTCTGATCTGAAGCGAAGCTTGAACTGGTAGATGAATCTTTCGACCACTTCATCTACATCCGCTGATGATACACTCATAGTATCACGAGAACAGGTCCCGTTCCGATCTTTGAGAGACAGCCAAAAACCAGTAACGCTGTCTCCAACCGCAAATTTCAAATTTCATTCATGCCTTCGTTAATTTGTTGTCCCCTTCTTCCCTTCTTGCAAGCGAGAACAAGCAATGTCGTCAGGAATGACAATTGCAGAGTCAGTGTGCAGCCGTTCACTCGAGCTTGCTTGATTACTCTTATGCCTCTGCCAGGTGACTCCCGTCTCCTCAAATGGCCGAGATGCGTCCAGCTGATCGTCGACCAACTGAATGAGCGCGTGAAAGGGGACACGTGTCAGCTCCTCGTGAACGACTTCTCGACGACTGACGACATCTCGAAGACGGCCAGTCAGGTGGTGCTCATGGACACAATGAAGCACTACTTCGAGTACATCCTAGACATAACTTGCGGCATCCCTGCGGTCAAGCTCCAAGGATCCCTTGAGGACTGGCATAGGCTATTGGCCAAGGCACGTGCCCTGCGCGCGCTTGAGATCGGCCTGGACAGGTGGCTGGACGATCTGGAACCGGTGCTCGAAAAGCTCATCGATACGTACTCGGGGAACGTGGACCAAGACTGGTGGAGCCGCGTTCTGACAGGGAGAGAGTCGTACGGATCGGGGGGGCCGAGGAGGTACTACGACGGCTGGTTCAGCGCCTTCTTTCCGTACACTGCAGAAGGCGATCCAACGGACTTTGAGCGGGGGATGGCCGCCGGGAAATACCAAGCGGGATGGCTGTTTGTCCGTTTCAGATCTTAGACACAGACGGCCTGTCGGACAACGAGCTTGTGGCCGGGAGCTTCGGTGCGCGGGTGACGGAGGACGGGGGGGTGGCGCCCTACATAGGATGGCTCGGAAAAAGAAGGCTAAGGAGGAACCTCCTTGGTATTTCGATGAAGCCTACTTACAAGAAGTCGATATTAGAGAAGATCAGGTTGCATAACATGTCTTCTAAAGGCCGATAGATGCAGACGGCCAACGGTTCTGACGGTACGTCAGTGTTAGTATAGGAGTGTAGAAACAGCTCTGCCCGCAGGTATTTAAACGAGAGAGTCCAACATCGAAGGGGTCTTGTAGTCGTCTTCAGCGCCATTCATGCCCGTTACCTATATGTTACTGATTTTCTCATGTAAACTCATTCTTGCCCATGCAAATCCCTAATCTGATCTAGTAAATCAGCCCGTTTAGATTATATAGGAATTAAAGATCCGTTATATGCAACCTGACCACGATTCTCTGGACCGTCCAGAGAATCGGACTTGAAAAGTAGCATCACCATTCATATCAGGACCGGAATATCTATAGATATACGCAGCCTGCATGCCTAGTAGTCACACTGATTGACATTCCTTTCCCAAGTTGGGTCGGGGATTGCTTGCCAGCGCGCTCGCGGCGGCAGCGCAGGCCATGACAGTGAGGGTTTGACATGGTGCGCCGAGAACCTTTGACGGGAAATGCCATGATCAGCCCGGGCAAGCAGTGTTATGATATGCTAGCACGCGGGGGGCCCATCAACGTGCACATCAAGGGCCACCCGGCAGTGTCAAATCAGCAGAGTGGTCAAGTTGAAGCCTAAGCACGTGCAGGCTCTTGAATGCACCACGCATCAGCGCGTGCAGTGCTCAGTGCGGCCTGCAACTGCTTGTGTAAGCTGCACATTGAAGTGATTACCGTACTTCTGAAGAGGTTTGAAGGTACGTTGAGACAAGGCTAGTATGCGATGCAGGCCCTGATTAAGAGGTTGAGCAATTACAAACTCCTCCATGTTACATCTACATGATGACCAATTCTCAATCTAGCCCTCTCGTCCCATGGTACATTATTCTGAACCACAACTCTTTGCGGCTGCATTGTGCTTGCTTGTGTATCCAACAAAAAGGGTTATGCCTAACGCCTTTCTATCTGCGAAAGAACTTCCGAAGTCGTGGCACTATTTCTTTCCTGCTGATGATCCGCGGCCTCTCACGATCGCCCTGATCGGAAGTAACTTCAAATTGGGCGCCCACCGGCTACTTCGCGTTTCCGCTACCTTATGGACAAGCTCTACGAAACTGTCTACCGGCGTGCTCGTTACGGGTTGCTCCTCATTTCTGACCGCTACTCTACCAGCCTCGCTTTGACTATCTTTGCTAGTCTCCACTGTGGTTCCTAACGGGTGCGCCAAGGCCCGTCCCGTTCGAAGCGTTTTCGGCGGCGCGAAGACCTGGGTACCTATGCTTGCGAGTAGTATCAGGGCGGCGCCTCCGCATGAGACGGCATCCATGGTCTCCCCCAGCGCGAAATACGCGAGAATTGCGCTCCACAAGGGGCCGGTAGTGTACACCAAGGTGGCTGTGGTCGAGTTGACGGTTTGGAGCGCCGCCAGCTCCATCCACGACGCGAGTCCTGTGGATATCAATTGCTTTCAGGAGAGCTGGATACGTTGGAGGAACAAACTTTTTTTGGAAGGCTTGATTAGGAAGGCGACCCGAAAGCACGTCAACAACTTTCATGGTCGCTTTTTCTACTTCAGATAAGGACTTCTGCGGCGACCGTGATCGCAGCGATCGCCTCGCGATCGGCGACGACTCTCGCTGCCAAGCTTCCTTGAAACGCTTCTAAAAAGTGCAACGCTCGCTTCCTTTGTCTTCTTGCTAACTGATAGTCCCACGAAAGAAGGCTGACTTGTTCCAACGGGAGGCATCAGTTGAAAAGCTTGCTGTCTAAGCGAACCCGGGAGAGCGAGATTGCTGACACGGGTTCTCAAGAGCGCTTCAAGTGAAACAGACCGCTGAAAGGAATGCTACGACGTATTACGTGCTACTCAGAATAACCCTTTCTGTGTTGTAAGTCGCTGCTGGATACAAGCAGAGCCTAGCCAAAGAACAGGAAAGGTCATGTCCGTGCGAAGACCTCTGTGCTCATACCGGAAGCCTACACTTTTCGTCAAGAGAGACGTCACCAGAAAAGGTCGCAAACGAGATAGATAAGCAGGAAAGGGTTCTGTAAAAAAGGGGACTGCCAAGGAAGCTTCGCAATTCAGTGCTCCGGAAAAGCGAGGACTCAGATAGTTATAGTGCACTTTACGATTGCTGACCTGTTCCGATGATGCCCACGAAGAGGACAGCAGCCCACGGCATGGCTGCCAGGTGTCGCAACAGCAGCGCGCCACCTGCGCCTCCGCCATTATGGTGCAGGTCCCAGCTGCATACGTCAAATCTGAGGATAAGCAAATGCGGTAAAACTCCTAAGCATTTGCCAAACGGTGGTCTTAGAAGCTCAAAGGTCAGCAGATGGGCTCTCTTGAAGTAGATGGAGGGGATGTACAAGAGGAGCTAGAAGATAGAAACCAAAGAATGGACTCCTTGCCCGATGAGCTCAAAGCTCAACGGTGGCCCGACAACGGTCCCTTGTGCTTCGCCTTTCGTGAAGGGTGCTCCGAGCATCGGGCAGACTTTGCGCCCCTGAATCATGCAACGTCTTCAGAGCTGTCTTCAAGCCCCAAACAAAACCGTCGCATTCGACCAGAAACGGATAAAAAAGCGAAAGTGATTGGAACACTCACGCTTCCCAGAGTGCTGACAGCACGACGGTGGTTGCCAGCTGGACGGCGGCCAGCTTCAGGGGGTCTGTCCGCACGCACTGCTCTTCAGAAAGAACCATGTACAGCTGCGGGCAATCAGCGTGAGGTCAGCAAAACGGATTCGAGGGTAGCGCTAAGACAAAGCATGTCGAAAACAGCGTCGGAAGACACGTTTCCTCGGCGACCAGATGCCCGAAAATCCACTCCCACAATCGCTCGGATGGTCAGGAGGATGCGGGAAGAAAACTCTACGGGTCCGCAACTCAGGTCGCTCTTAGTAAGACGCACAGGCAACCCATGTCCGGAATCCTCCGTTCTTGGTTAATCTATCGGTTAACAGGGTTCAATATTAACTAGACCTAGAGGACCCCCAAACAGCAGCCACAGGAATCCTGACATGACGACAACGGGCAGAGGAAATCCAGAGGGCGGAGCTCTCCAGCGCAACGAGCTTGGTCAGCCTTTATACGTCTGTCTACGACCTGCAGAAAAGTGACTCCCGCTGCAAGAAGCCGTGCAAGAAGCCGTCCAGTCATTCTCAGACGCAAATAGCCTTTCGCTGATTCGCCAATCTGGTTCCAGCCGACTGCCGACAGGAACGCGACTTTCTTCCGATTCGGTGGCCAGAAAAACACACAACTCAAAGCGGGACGATGATAATGCCTCACCGCAAATGCTATGCTGCTGGTGAGACACCAGCAATCGCCTATTGGTATGGATTGGAGGATGTGGGTGGGGGCATAGTGCCAGGGGACCTCGCTAACGGTAGTGGCTATGTCGGACCCTTGCTCGAGCAAAAGCATGCCTGCAGGGCAAGAGCAATCTGTCAGGGGGGGAAGGTTGATGAACGGTTCCGCCCAGTAGAAGGGGAAGTCAAGGACGATCTACTCAGCGACCAACGCATGGGTGACTTTGAGCAAAAGGCAAGCGCGGGGGTCAAAACGAGCGGAGTGGACGCTCTGCAAAAGCTGTATATTACAACGTACAGCAGCGGAGACTTTACAGAGCAGAAAGCAAAGAGTTCGTTACTGGACGGCCTTTGGAAACCGTGTAATGACTCAATCCATGTCGGCCCACTACCAAATCCTTTCACCTTCTCCAGGCAGACGCTCAGATACTCTTCCAGATCTTTCATGAGAGGGCGGCGCAGAAACCCGAACACAACTCCCGATGTGATTCTCAAACACGCGAACGAAGAACGAGAGTGACAGGGACGAGTTGGCGTATACCTGCGGTCGCGAGCAGCGCTGACAGCCAGACGGGCGCACCGATCTTGCGCCCGCTGAACGCCTCCAGAAAAGGAACGAGAATGACCTGAGGGGAAATGCAAAAACGTCAGTGAAAGACTTGAGGGGAAATGCGAGAACGTCAGTGAAAATGCAAACTACCATGGCATGGGGATTGATCATTCACAAAAGGATTGCGGGTGCCACAGAGAACACTTTCTTCCCAATAAACATCAAGAGCTGTTGGCACTCGCTTACAGCTCTTGTTTTCAGAGATCTTGTTCGTGAAGGACACTTACCGAGCCTGTCAGCAACACCGCGGCGTGGTCTGCGGTGCTCGTTTCCAATCCCAGAGCCTGCCCTGCATCTCCCAGGAACATAAACACGCCCGAGAGCATCCCCGGCCAATAGAGCGTCTCCCAAGCACCCGCCGTTTCCTCTCTCACTTCTTTCAAAGTACCTGCTACTCCCCTGCTGTTGGCTACTGCTCCGACAACGTTCTGGGGGGTTTCCACCATGGGCAATCCCAGCCCCCCGGTTGCTGAACCTGGTGAAAGGGCCGGCGCAGACGACAGCGGTGATGTCAGCAATTCTGCAGAGGAGCTGGCGGCTGCTGCTGCCTCTGTGTTGAAGCGGTGTGTAAGGGCGGGGGCGAACGCAAGGAGGCCGACCATGACCCGGACGAAGAACATGAGGCTGGTCCCTGCGGCGGGGGCTTCTTCGGACCCGGTGTTTAGCTCCGTTGCCTTGATGACCACTGCAGATAGACAAAATGTTAAGGCCTCAACTGGTTGTAGAGTCTTTTTGGAGAAGAATCGTCCACTTCTGGAACAAGCCATCCGTTGAGAGCAAACTGTAGACTTTCACCAACCGTCCATACATCGTTATGAACTTCCTTCCTACAACCCTGACTGGCTTACAATTGTCCGAGACACCAAAAATTTGAGGAGGTGGGATAAGCGTGACTCGAGTGACTCTGGGATTTTGTTACCCCAACCAGTATGCAAACACTTTTGGAAATGGGACCCTGGAATCTTTCTACAGCCTGCAGCTTCTCAGCATTCGACAAGATGTGCTTGCAATTCTGAAGTGTGCCAATGCAGAGAAGCTTCACCTGTACATACATGAAGGGACAGCTTACCTGCAGTTGCTCCATCAATGAAGGCGAGGACGTTGAGCAGCACGATTGACTTGCGCTGGGGAGTGAGGGCTAAAAGGGCTTTGAAGTGCTGAAGGAATCGCTGGGGTTGGGAAGGTTGCTGTGTCTGGAAAGGTTCAACGAAGGACCTTATGAGAGCCAAGAATCTCTCATTATATCTAGGAATACATGCTCACACTGTCATCAATGACTTGCAGATACAGACGCGCAAGCCTGATCATGAGCTGCAGAGACGCAGAGCAAGCTGCAGCATGTGATCCAGTGATCAGCAGTCCTAGAATGAGTATCTGAGAGACCTGTCTTGAGTTCAACAATATGGAGGCACTTATTCCAAAGGTAGTAGGAAATGTTGCTTGTTGATGCTTGCAACACGTATTCAATGAAACCTTAGGAACTGATGACGAAACAGGACCTGATGTCCACATTCGGACCACCAAGTACTACTCTGAAAGAGAAGAAGAAAACTCTGGGAAGTTGCTGACCTGAGGTTTTTTGTGCTCATGCTGGAGAAATGCTGAGGCAACAGTAGTTTTCAGTCTTGATGACCGTATCTTCTGGGCACGACCCGTGCTTCTGTGCCTCAATTGCCCTCCATAAAGTTTATCACGTCTGGTATGCAGACATTGCGTCTGAAAATTGCAGTCTCCAATGACAAAGCAGCGAGCAAATCCTGGTCTTTGCAGCGTTCTGCGCAACCTCCTGTCTTCTGATTCCCCCTGCCTTGCCCCTTCTCTTTGCCAAGCAACCCCTTGCAAACTGCCCTCCCAAGCCTTCAGCGCTCCCAAGGAGGTGGCCATGGCTACACATGGGTTGCAATCGACTTTCACACAGTCCAACCAGATTGGAGTTCTTCCACCCTCAAGCAAAGTCTGTATGGCGGCATAGCAGAATTGTGTTTGTACCCTCCTTTGGTTCCATACCAGATGCTTCTAGAATTTTATTCTAGCGAGCCACAGCAAGGTTTGCTAATGTTCAATTCTTCAATGTTGTCCTCCAGAAAACAGCAAATGCCAATTTTCGATCAGCCTGCAATCTTCTACAGGGCAGAGCACGGCTAGATCAAAATGCTACCCTGCGTTATCCCTTCGGTACCCCTTCGTCCTTCTCCATTTCACCAAATTGCTCTCTGGTCCTCCTTCCAGAAATTGGCGCTTTCCAAGTGCTTTGAACTTCAAGTTCCAGAATCTCAATTGTCAGTGAACGATGAAAATTTCGAATTCTCAGCTATAACGAGAATTGATAGTAGATATACG